GAAGGGTTTTTTTCTTTCATTATTTTACATTGTTATTTCTAAAAAATGCTACCCCAATTTTTTCCTGATATTGACAATGCTTTTACCAAATCAGTATTGCCCTTCCCAGAGCATGTTGTATGTGGCTTCTTCCTTTTCCTATCTCAGGTTCTAATCCAAAGGCTCTCTTTGGATGAGATCATGGTGATGAATTAAAACAAGTTTTAGTGAGTCTAATTAATATATTGATTATAATTGGTAACAGACAATATGCCCCAAAATTAAGAACTTTGAGTTACCTATATGTTGTCATGTAATTATCATCTTTTTCTTCAAATATTTATTGATTTTATTAATGCAAATTATATTTATTTGGTTACTTATTTAGTGGGAGCACATAAATACCAAGGGTTGCACGTAGAGTTTAGAAAACTTGCAGGGCTTGCTTGTCTCCTTCCATCATGTGGATGCATGGAGATCAAGTCAGGACCTAACTCATACTTGGCAGCAAGTGCCTTCATTCTGTGAGCCATCTCTTGGACCCCCAATTTTATCTGTACTTTCTTAATAATAACTATGACTAATAGACAGATTTCTTTAGATATTATCATATAAAATAGTACAGTAGATGAATCATGTGTTATTTGAAGGAAAAAAGTATATGAAGTGCAGGTGGGAATACTATATATAAGGTAGTATGTTTTTATTAAGGCATGACCATAATGTCGTATCACATTAATAATGCCACAACCCATAGTGTAAAATACACAATGTTCACATCCGACTGGAAAGATGATTGTATCAAATCATTCTGCCAAATATCTGAAATACGTAAATCTAACATTCTCATCCTATGATCTGTCCACTAACAGAATGTTTTATTTTCTGGAATGCCAGAAGGAAATTTTACCTGTTCAGTTTATATATCAACTAAGTTCAGAACATTCTAAATCTACAATAACTCTAAAGTTTTCATTGCTATTAAAAAGTTTTTCTTTTGGTATAGAAGATAGATGATGATA